TAGCCCCTCACCCCTCCCAAGTGCCACTCCAATCCCTTTTCCTTGCCTAATCTGCTGCTCAACTTTCCTCTCTCTGACCAAGATGCCGCTCTGCTTCCTACCCTGTTTTCCCTGCCTGATCTGCTGCTCCACTTTCTGCTCGCTGCCCTTTCTGCCACTGTGCTTTCTGTTCCCACCCGTCTGCCAGATGCCCCACACACAGGCTGCCCATTGCCACTTGTGGCACTTATGCCACAGGTTGGCCACCTCTATTCTGTGCCATCTTGTGCTTGGCAGAGTGCATTTTGTTAACATAGTTATGGACATAGAAAATGTAAACGTGTGTTGCATTCCAAGCAGTTCAACTTTAAAAGAAAAAAAAAGGGTTGTAAATTCCTAATTTTCCTAAAACAGGATATGTGACATTGGCACTTAAAAATTGTATGGGAAAACTAGTATAAACACACTTCAATACTGAACATTCATTTGCACAATTGAAATGAGAGCAGAGAATGACATAGCATTAAGACTAAAGGAACTAGGGAAATGCATAATCATAATGAAAAAGTTACAATTTACTTGATCTTTCTTCCCCCAAATTTATTTTGTGGGGAGAGACTTAATAGGAAGATTTAAAAACAAAAAATGCATCTTTACAGCTTTTATCTATCTGTAAATAGACCTAGCACAAAGCACAAATGCACAGTTCAAGTCAGTGATGAGTAGTCTGGTGTTGGGAGCAGTTTTTATTGCAAACTGTGTAATTGTGCCTGAAATTGCAGATGGTCCCAAACATTTCATTTACAAAATTATCCCATTTAGGAAAGCTACAAGTGCAGTGAAGGGATTTGGTGGTCTTGGACCAAAACATGCTGTTATGCATTTGTATTCCTGGTGTCTTAGATCTTGTGATGATCAGAGCTTGTTGCTCCCCTGAAGCAGACTGGTTACACCAGTTTGCTTCTCTCTCTTTAAGTACCTATTAGGCTGCTCACATGCTGGGAGATGATCAACAGCTACTTGCATTCCCAGATCGGGAACCCCCCTCCAATAGCATCATTTCACCTGGTTGAAAAATTTCAACAGAAAACAGCAACTGATTTCCTGCACCATCCCCTTCCCCTGCTCCCCAGTGAAAATGTTCCTCATTTATTTGACCACTCTTTGCCTCCCTCTATCTGATGTTTCTTAGTGGGACCTGTATTAAGCATCTCTGCTCTGATAAATGGCAGGGAGGGGCTGTCAATGCTTTTAAAATTGCTTATCAGAAAAATTCCCTGCATGGCCCAAGAACCAGGGGAGGTACGGGGTGGAAAAGTAGGGGACTAGGAAAAGAAATCATTTTACTGTTTTGACGTAATTGTTCTCATAAACAAGGTAAGAGGCAGGAATGTTTAACAAACAAATATATTCAGACAGACTTTGTGGGAAATGTCTTTTTCCTTAAAAACATGCTGGGTATGTTGAGAGTAAAGAAACAGTTTCAACAAATGAACAGAAGGGGTCAGAAATGTCTTTAAAATTTGTTACAGTCTGCTCTATTCTGAAATTCAAAATGCTGCTCTTCAGAAGTGTTTTATTATGAGGGAACCAGCAATAAAGTCAACTCTGGCAGAGATGTACAGGCAATATAAGCAAAAGAGAGCAGATCAGTTCTGTCAATGGCAGAGAAACCACCCCCATCTTTCTTTTAATTCCATGGCATAATTTTAACAAGGAGTTTCTAGGCACCCCTCACATCCCCTTCGTGTGGATGCAGCCTTCTCTGCAGCCTCTTGCCGCAGGCATCTTGAAGAGCCAGTAAACAAACGTGCATGTCGGAGGGAAAGCCCCTGCTTGGAAGCAGAACGTTTTTCTTTTTTTCTTCCCCTGCAGAAGCTGTGCAGCTCTGCTTCTAGATGTACCCAGGGGTGGATTAAGAGCAAATGGGACCTAGATCAACTGAAACTGCCAGTTTTTTCCTAGAGAAAAGGGAGTCAGAAATTTTTGCCGACCCTCTTGAGAAAACCTGGAAGTGACTCTCAAATGTGGATCAGTCTGCCTATTCAGTCATGGAGTGATCTGCCACTGGCCTTAAGCAAAGGAGTGAGGGAGAACTATGTTTACTCCTTGAAACCAGCTAGCCTGCTTCAACCACGGAAAACTGGTCTTCAGCTTGCCTGTTTGACATTCGTAGAAAGGAGTCGTACTGGAAGCAACGATTCACAACATGACTGTGTCTGAATATATTCAAATATCCTGTTGGCACTTTACATTCCAGCAGAGATGTGGTGCTGGAAAGGTGCTATAGCTGATGAAGCACACTTCTGTTGCAGAGCTCTTGTACAGCAAAATTTTAAAAGTGGTTGACAACCCAATTAGCACATTCTGGACAGGACTTGTTGATGAACCAGCTAAACTTGCCTTCCCCTAATCCACACTTGCTAAACTACTGCTACTGCATTCCATCATTCATTTGCCTGTCATAGAGAGATGCATCTGTTAGAAAAATAGCATCCATTGGGTAAATTCTAGCCAGACATCCATCCTGCTTGCCTTCTGCCTCCTTCTCATTCAGCCATCTGAAACATGCTGATGAGGTGGTCACAAAGAATTGGGAGAAATTCAAATCCTGTGTACCACAGAAGTCTGTATAATCAAAAGAGGAGCTCGTAAGCTGCTGTCTTCCTGCTGGCTAGTACAGTTAGGTGCCTGACAAA